AGCCGTGAGTCTGAGTTTGAGTGAGTCCAGTCAGTAAACTTTGTATGAGATTAAGAAAGAGTGAGCTCGGTGGCGAAACGTTTAGGAGAGCGTGAGCATGAGTTAGTCCGGTTAAGGAACACTTTAATGAGTGCGAGTCCGAGTGAGCTTTAAGAGCGAGCTAGATCTAATGAGTGAGTCTGACTGAGCTCCCCATTGTTTTGCCAACCTCTCATATTATCTAATGAGCTTCAGCTTTACTCCCAGCCTTATGATAGCTCACACTTTTCCTAATTACATCTACTCATGTATCAAAGCAGTAGTGCTCATACGCCAACTCAGTATTAGTTGAACAGATACGTGAGTTACGGAGAGACTGATGTGGCTTGTTACTCCCTCCATTCTCTTTCAAAGGAAGGTCTTGTTAAAAACGCCTCGTGTGACTCATCATCTAACATAAAAATGTTCTTTGTGAATTGAAACCACTGATATAATAAAGACAGACTATCGAAATTTCCAAGTAGAGAATCGATCAGATAAGATGTTGCTGTTACAAAGCATTGTCACCTTGGACGAAACAGCAGACTCGTCAATGGACTCAATTAGACTCACTCAAACTTAGATAGAGACGTTATTTTGAGTTGGAGTCCAAGCGAGAACTATTTGGGGGCGTTTGAATCCATGTGAGTTCGATTGAGAAATATTTAGTGAGTCTGTAGCCGAGTGAATCTGCTTGAGGAAAACACTGCTAGGTGTGAATCCGAATGAGCCCTAAAGGGGAAGTATATTTATAAAAACCGTCTGAGTGAGCTCTGAAAAATTTACCGACCTATGGTTTTAAGTGACTCTGAGTATTCGAGGCGTTTTATTTGCAGTACTGCTCTCTATGCAAAAAATTAATCGAAATGCCGAATATACAACCTTAATATTCAGTACGTGCTATGGAAGGACGACGCTTTTTTGTTATGTTGGTGTAAAGCTCATGAAGTAGACGCGAAGCACTCTGAACGCCGCTTTTCATTGTATACTTTCCAGCATGATACATTTTATCTTCATTATACCATCTTCGAAGCAATCACGGTAGAGGAAAAATTTATGACTATCCCGAAGCGATTCTTAAGGCATGAACTGTGATCTTTTTTTATATTTTGCCTGTAATTCTTGCAAACTTAAGAAAAAGGTCTGCTGCCTGATGACTCATCATGAAAACGAATACAGTTAAGACTGCAGGAAAGATACATTTTAAAATTTAGCTTTATTGAGCGAGGGAAAAGCCGTTGCGTACCTAGCAAATAGATCAGTATTCAAATAAAAAACGTTTGTGAGAGAAAGCAACAGGTACAAAATCTAGTGAAATTTGGTGTTAATATTCATCGTTTTTCAAAAATGCACATTAGAAATATAAGTTGGCAAATTTTAAACTTTCAGCATGGACTTATCAAAGTTCATATGATATCATGATGGACCTGATCAAAAAAGTTCTTTTGCTCCTTCAAAGGAGTTACCTTATTCAACATGGAGTATTCTGCGGTTGTTAGTGTGACTGATACTGCTGATCAGTTTCATGTACTTTTTTTCGGTCTAGCTAATGAGCAAAATGCTGTCAAAGATACCAGCACAGTTTCCGGATTGTTCTCCGGGAATCGTCTGTCAGTGGTGATGACATATGCAAGGCTGCTGAGTGGTCTTCATCGTTCTGTAGCCTAGGTCGTAAGTATCTACAGTTAACTGCTAAAAATCACAAATCAAGATTTAGCGTTCACGCTAGCACTCTTTTTTTAATGGTCTTTTGGCGCTTTTCAAACTACAACCGGCTGAAAATAAGAAATATGGGTACCTGATAAGTGATTAGATAAAAGAACTAGTAACTTAAGAGCATGTATGCTCAACATTCGTTATATTCAAATGCTCTAACACGCGCTATCTCCTCAGATCATGCCGTACGTAACTGGTGAACGCGTTATTTACAACAAGCATTATTTTCAGTAGGCTCTGTCATGTAAACCAGTGCTTCTTCTACAAGGTATTCATCTACCCCTCTATGAACACACATATTCACGTCATGCGTGCAGAATTGTATCAATGTTACGTCTCACCGTAAGCTGCCCCTCAAGCGCCAGTGTAGGCGCTGTGCCTGGTAACCCCGCTACATGCGCAAAACTACTCTATGTACACAAGGCAGTGACGCCTTTCGTAATAATTGGGTCAATAAAAAACCAGGAAAAGAAGCGGAATATAGGCTTCTACCCGATGACTGCGTCGCATGAAATCGACAAAAATCCATGGAATGTGCCAGGGTTTTCTCTTCCATTATTTCATTTACATCTATATCTTAATTCAAAGCAACTGAAAACAACGAATTAATGGCCCCTGACTTTTGCTTGGCTTCGTTTTCTGTCGGCCTAATAGGGTGTGTCAGATAATAATGACGTTTTACGAACATAACATATGGCAAATGTTAACGCAACAATAAAAACGAAAAGAGTTCTACTAAAGCAAAATGAGCCATTTTTTTATGTATTCTGCAACGGCAGCGCATTCGGTCGTCGTAAGACATTTATTAGAGGCGCAAAGTTCGCAATGTTCATTTCTATACGCACAAAACTCGATGCCATCGTATCATACCGTGTAAAAGTGCTTCCAGTATGGGTATTTTGAGTTACTAGAGAACTAAAAAAAAATTGCGAACGGGAGGTTGTTTCACATTACTTTCCACATAATTTTGCACGTCTCGTTTCTGAGAGAAGGCATGCCCTTTGATGACCGCAAACGAATAAAAAAGAAACTATATATCTCCCTTATTTTAACGTTATACCTAGGAGTGTGGTAGTTAGTTGATTTCTTCCTCTATTCTCTCCGTGTTCGCTGCCGCAAACACGCAGTACGTGCTCACAGTTGAACGTCCCAGGAATGCGCTTCTCGCAACAGCCGGGGTACGGGAAGATTTGATCGCGTATCGGTGTCTCTCCGTTCTTTCATTTATAAAGGCGAGTTCACTGCACCGAGCCTTGCTTTCTCATTTTTATTGGTGATAATTCGGTGCTGCTCAGTAACCTTTCATTGTTAGGTGAAATGAAGCAGCAGACCGGATGGCTTAATCAAGACATCCGCACAAAATTTAGGCGATGCTGCACCCATACGTAGTTTTTTTTTTCATTCATGGCTTTCAGTGTGGGGAGTGCTGTCATCAAGCACCGACAGGGAAGATAATTAGCATTTTAGCCAAGTTTGATACATTCTAGCCACCTAAGTTTTCTGGATTTAGGTGCCGAGACCACTTTCATTCAGTGACTGGTTACCACTCATGTAAGGGAAAGAAAAAAAAGGTTTCCCTTTGGTTTAAAAAAAAAAAAATCTCTGCATAGCATCACTGCTGCGTGTAAACACACCTGATGGCTTTGCTAGAACTAAAGAGAGGGCATATAATAGGCAGGAAGTATATTGAGTGGTTTTGTCTAGTTTATACTTTTCGCAGTTACCTCGTTTCCCAGTATTTTGGTACCGAGACGACCTTCATTTAGCAAGTGTTAACCCTTCACATAAGGTAAGAAAAATGGCTTTCCGTCAGTTTCAGGATAATCTCAGCAGATCCTCAATGCCGCGTGTAAACACTCCTGATGCAGTGATGTCCCATGCAGAAAATTTTTCCTTTTTCGGGAAATTTACGCCTGGCATTTCGAACCAAAGAGAAAAAAGGAATCTTCTTGATATTGAAGGGAATTTCAGGAATGGTTAAATTCTCCTATGACAACCGATAATTAGCGGGTATACTGCGCCTTCATCTGCTATAACTGGTTCTGACGCATGCACCACACATGCATGGCCTTTGAGATTTGTTTCTAATAAATTCTCGGAGTGATTTTCAGTTCACTAGTGGTATTGGACTTGAAGCTCACATTGTGCAGTGTACTATATAACAGTATATAACTTAATAAAGTCATGCTTTTATGGTGGGGCAGTGGAGAGCTATATAGTCATAATATAAAAAGTCATTAGTACGTGGACATTTGTAATTATAGCATGTGTATGCGTGTATGAAGGTGGAAATCTAGTTCTGTGGTTCAGCGAATTTTGCTGGGAATATTTTCAACGTTCCCAGGGAAAAATCTCCAGAATAGGGAATTTTCATGTCTCCGAATGGAAATTCTTCGGCGTAGTATGGAACACCACTGGCCTGAGGGCTCTGCTTGAACTTAAGTGAGAAGGACAGAAACAATGCGGCAGGTCGTCGGGGGACGGGTGACGAGGAAAAAAAAGGGTTTTTTGGGGAATCGCCGCGCGTATTCAGCGCCCGCGCTGTTCTTTTGTAGCGAACGCGACAGATGGCGCTGCTTTTCAACCTCGCTCACCAGGCGCGACAGCGTGGGCGCGGGGGTTTAGCAAAGCGCACCGGAGCACCGGCCCGAGTCGCTTCACTCCTCGTCTGGAGTTGTGCGAGTAAGGCGTCCGGAAAAGTTTGTGCTGGGACTACTTCGCCCCACTCGGGAATTGAACGCTTTTCTCGCTTCCGTCACTGTCTCGCTTTGCGCTTCGCTGCCGCGTTTGGCTCGTATTTGAATCGACACCTGCGTAATAAGTAGCGCCAGTACTTTTCCAATGTTCGGCAAAACTTTCTTCTATGAGACGCGCGTTTCTCTTGCACAAGCCAGTGATAGTAGCGCTTACTAAACGCACGCTTTACTGATGACACCTCTTTCTATACTCATTTGAAACGGAGTTTGGTATTGGCGACGTGTCACAGAGCGTGCGAAACGAGGGAGACACTAAAGAAGAAATTGCGCGCGTCTCACTCATTTATCACCGCTCTGGCTTCGAGGCAAGTGATTTCGCCTGGTGTACATCGGTGCATTTCGATTGGCACATATCGTCCGCGTAGGTGTCAGTGTCGCTTTTGGCTACTACCTACAGCCATTCTAATCCAAGTTCTGGCAGCAGTAGACGCAGAAGCCGACGAACTTGCTGGTGCTCACTTTACTTCGTAGGTGGGACAGTAGCCTCCCGTGCCACGGGGCGTCGACCTGATGGAGTCCAACTGCTCCATAGACCTGTGGGAGGAACAGCTGGACGTGTTCAATTTCAGCAACACGTCGTTCCTCGACTTGGACGAACTAGACTCGACGTTCACGTGGAAAGAGTACCTCAAGATGAGTGTCTACCTTGTGACTATAGTGGCTGCGCTGGTGGGCAACTTCGCGGTCATCGTGACCGTGGTGACCAACCGCGTGATGCGCACTACCATCAACTACTACCTGCTCAACCTGGCTGTTGCTGACACACTCATATGCATCTTCTGCATGTGGGTTCACTTCGTCAACAGCCTGTCCACATTCTACGTGCTCGGCTCATTCATGTGCCGCTTCGAGGGTTTCGCAAAAAGTGAGCATTCTTCCACAGTTTTCCTTACTTCCTTCTGCGATGAAGCTCAATTGAAACTCTGCTTTCGTGCGAGTTATGCGGCTTTTCATGAGTGGAGAATAGAAAGACTTTTACATTTTTTTATGAAAGTTAACTTGACGTTACGCCCTGTGCAGCAATAGGACGTGTATGTCTTGTACATGCAGATAATACAGGGCAATAGGCACAGGTCATGCCTTTTTTGTTATCGCTTCTACCTGACACTCACATTTTCTTTTACATGAGCGTAGCGATGAAATAAATTTATCACTCCTAATTGAGTTCACAGATGTGTAATGAATGGCAATATTTTTCCACAATCGTATTGAAATGAAAATACAACCAAATATACCATGTACCCCAGTCCACGTAGACTGCCCTGTCAAAGCAGTGACCAGGCCGTCTGCACGGGCGGAGTTCATTAGAAGCAAGAATGTAATATTTAGGCAAAGCGAAAAACAAAGAGGAGGAATTACACAACTCTACATTTTGTCTTGAAGGGAAACTGATGTCCCGAGAAGGTTCACAGAAGTTGCAGTGACGTATGAGCATTTCCAATTTCCCGCGTTCGGACAAAATAAGGGTGTTTGCTATGCGTATGCAGCTATTTTTATAGTCGTAGCTGAACAATACAAACTCATAAAATGAAACACTAGACAATTACGGCTGAACCTGAAAGTAAATATAGTCTCATCACATATTTCATGGAATATATTGTTCCGTCAGACAAATCATTTTATTAGTTAAATAGGCGTACAGGAGGTACCAATGAGTCCATTGTGCTCGGCCAAAGATTCGGCCTTGTGCCAAACACTTGCCAATGTTTATTCTGCTTTCTCAGCGTGATCATGCACATGCCACCATGTGGTGCGCAGGTTGGTTAGCAAAAATGAAGGTTATTACAGCAGAAACATAGCTTTGGTTTCTCCATTTTTTTCCCGGGGACTAAGAAAGTAGGAGGTGGAACAGGTAAATGACTGTTTCGCACAGTTTCACTTGCGAAAAATTGCGAGTTCGGGCTGCGAGTGAAATGTTTAAAAAAGGAGCTTTACAATGATGCATAAAGCAGGCGAAATTTCTACAATGCCCTTTGTATTTGTACCATACATAGTGGTCAGTTGCGAGAGTGTAGAGTCGCAGGCGGATTGAAAGCATGTTGTTGGCTGCAGGCGAACCTAGAAACTAGTAAAATATTCTGGCAGTAACCCCATCCTAACACTTTTTTACAGGAAATTTAAGCAAAGTTCATAAGTAAACACTGTTTATCTGAAATGATGTATTCCCAAAGAGCTTGCCATTGTATTGTGATCTACGAAATGTTGTCTATTTTTGTGTTGTGTCTGTGTATTCGTCTGGAAACGTCCTGGTTGTCAGCGTTGACTCCGGACTGGAAAAACTAACTTTTCTCTTCCTAAATTAATAATTTTTTGCTTCCTCGTTGTACGTGACCAGGGTGTCATTCGAGCCGAGCTATATGTTCTTTAGAAGTCGACCAAGCACTCTTACTTTTTAGAATGGCTGATTGTGAGGCTGTCCATCACAGTTCCGAAAGGGAACAAAAGGGCTCTTGCGTTTTATTAAAGAAATGGGTCTGACTTGTCGTCATTTTTTATTTCAAACGTGAAACTGTTACGCTTCGGCTCGAACAGTGATATTTGTTCCTCCTCTGTGACTTTCCTTCGACTTCTTCCCTTCCCCAGAACAAGGTAGCCTACCAGGCTGAGTCCTGGTTAACCTAGCTCCCTGCCTTTCTTCTATTCTCATTCTCTCTTTTTGTCTCAATCGCGAAGAACAATTGCTCTCCCTCTCCTACCAATTCAATTCTGAATCTATGCTTATGTATCACCGGTGGAGCTCCCCTATAATCTATTTCAAAAGTCTTATGACCACTTTTCTTTCCTTCTCGTAAAAGTTGTACTAAATAAACATTTAGTGACCGATCTCCTAAAAACAACATTTATTGTATCTGTTTCCGCAACGTATGTTTTTTTTTGCTTTTATCCCGAGGGCGTCAAACTGGTTGTAACACCTTCACAAATATTTTTTTTCGCCGATGCTTCGGCGTTGCCCACTTTTGCCGGGGACGAAGCATTAGGTAAAATACATATTTGTGTTTTATGCATTCCTGGCACATAACACGTAAACATGCTGTTTCGAAGTAGAACAGCAGACAAACAAACCAAGATTGGGCAGTGTAAACTGGAAAAATGATAGGGGAAAAATGAACGGTGAGCGTCGTATAGAAAACATAAAGGCACAGCTTTGCTTTCACCTGTCGAAGGCAGATTTCGAACGCACTCTGAGATTCTTATTTATTTATATTTATTTATTTACAATACCTACAGCACCCACGTTGGGCATTATTGTAGGGCGAAGATAATATTTAAATACATACTTAAAAACATATTGAAGAAAGTAATACATTTCAGAACAATAAATAAAAAAAGAAAGAAAAATGCAGAATGGCGACAAGCCATCAACACATCGGTTTACATAAAAGAAATAAAGCTTCATAATAAAGCATGCAGCGGTGACACGTAATTATCAGAATATACACAGAAAAATAAGTTTAGATATAAGAAACGCATAAACATATATATATATATATATATATATATATATATATATATATATATATATATATATATATATATATATATATATATATATATATATATATATATATATATATATATATATGCAGAGATCGCAAAAAGTGCACAAAACTGTAAAAACAAAATTCAAGCGTAGAAGCTAAAAGGAACAAACGAAAGTATAATCAGGCTACCAAAATATGTGACCTTGATGTGCGACGCTGAATATTTCCGTGGACACGTTTACTATTTCTTAAGTATTTAGTTCCACTGCTGTGGACGGAACAAACGCATCGCAAAAAAGTCTTGGATGCACAATGGTAGCCATTTTCCCTAAAATTTGTCTGATACGCTCAGATGGACAGATATCGCACCAAGTTGTCCGCCAGTTAAAAAAAATGCCGCTACATGTACAGACACGTTCACTGTTAAAAGGTGAATGAGGACCTTTCGTATTGCTGGCCCCTTCACTGCAAGTATATAGTAAAACGTCGAACGTGCGCATTACTTGTTTGGCGAAGAAATTCTGAGCTGTCAGCCACCTGTACACCCTTATCCAAATCTAAGCCCTTGTTTTACAAGGGATTTGTGTTGGCAACAGGCATATGAGGGCCGGTGGTCAGGCGACATAGCACCATACGAAAGTTATGTATTTCGAACGGTACAAAACAATAGGGGAGCATGCCGGCCGTAAACATTTTATGAGCCTTGCACGTATATTGAACTGGAAGAACAAGCAATAGCCTTGTCGTAAAAGGCACGCAGGATCGTGAAAGGCGCTGTGAATAAGCCAGTTATACCTGGCATCGACCAGTCATCAGTGAGTGAGAGTAAAGTGTTTACGGGGACCTAAAGAATGTGGTTCGTAGACAAGTCTACCTCAATTTTGAAATAATGACCTTCAGATTACGTAACCTTCATGCAGAGTATAGTGGGTGGCGTCCCTTTCATTTTTATTCTCACTCTGCACAACAAGCCATGGTGTGATGTGGCCAACAATGAATAAGGAGCAAATGCGCAGGCAACTATACGCCTGAAGATAAAATGAAAGGGTACCGTCATATTTTAGCAAAGTGAATCATTACAACTCACGTGCTGATGAAATTCCAGTGGAACCTCGTGGTGTGCGAAAGAAGGAATGCGTAGCAACAAGGAGTCAAATATAATATAATATCGGGCGTTTCACGGGCTAAAACCACCATTTGACAAACCATGTCGTAGTGCAAAGCTTCGGAAAGAGAAGTGCGATGTCAGAAGTACCGCGAACGAAGAGTGGATGAAGAGGAGCTTAGAGTCGGCGTTGTATGACCGAGCGAAAAGATTGTGTGGCGACGCACCTTAAGAAACAATCGAAATGCGGGTGGCACGTGTAAGTCGCGCTCACTGCTGGTATACTCCTGGAAGAGGGAGAAGAGTATAGCACTGTGGTGCGTCACGACGCGCCTTGCAGATCAGCGTGTACAGCATTAGACAGGTTCGTACATATCTGGGAAAAGCACGTGCCTTTGAGCCCAGTTTGAAGCTTATTGTGGTCTGCCAACCAATAGTACAAACGGCGGGGCAGATGAGCACTACCGAAAGAAGCAAGCGGTGATGCTTTAGTTCGAATAAGTGGAAGCCTGTGAAGCTCTTTTGACTGCAGCAGCTAAAGCAATTGATTGATTGATTTGTGGGGTTTAACGTCCCAAAACCACCATATGATTATGAGAGACATCGTAGTGGGGAGCTCCGGAAATTTTGACCACCAGGGGTTCTTTAACGTGCACCCAAATTTGAGCACACGGACCTACAACATTTCCGCCTCCATCGGAAATGCAGCCGCCACAGCCGGAATTTGATCCCGCGACCTGCGGGTCAGCAGCCGAGTACCTTAGCCACTAGACCAACGCGGTGGGGCCGCAGCTAAAGCAAAGCGCCGAAAGCTGACTGCGGAGTCGGTGTAGGTACGTCGACGTCCGTTAACGTATAGGACGCCAAGGCCACTGAGTTTCATACTGTAATACCTAGAGGGAAATCTGACACTATTTTCTATGCAGGCTTCTTCAGCGGCACTTGTACCACCAAGGAAATGATGGGAACTACAGGCTTTGAATTTGATTGGGATGGTTTATGTTTTGAAACCCATGAGGCTTCCTTAGGGTGTAAAACAAAATGATATAAAGAAATTGCTAATCAAAACTTGTTGAATTTTTCTGTACGTAAAACTTTTCGTAAAAGGTTTGTGCGACGAATGCAACTAAGTATGCAATGTTCTGCAAATGTGTTTCATATTTGACATGACAGTATAATGAATTGTTTCGTTAGAACACTTAAAAACAAGAGCGCTTGTTTGTCTCTCGAAAATACGCATTATCTATTTATTTAAATAACAGTACTGCATTGAGTGAG